TCTGATCAACTAAATACAATTTGTGAGATACTAAAGCTCCTGAATATCCATTTGCTTTCCACTTGAATCGTAAGATAAATTGATCTCAAAATCGAGGTAAAGTGTGTTGTACAAAAGTATAGGGACGTGTGGCCTATATAAGCTCATTATTTTGACATGTTCACAGTAGGAGTCTCACTAACCGACCCAGTATTTTAGTAGGCAAATGATGAGTGATCAAATTATTTTATGATTAAACTGGAAATCAAATGGGTGTTCATGATTTTTAGTACTTCACGAAATTGATAGAGTTTATTGATTTCTGGATTGAAAATATACCATTCAGAGTAAAAAAACAATTAAGGTATGTTCTTTAGACAACACGATAGAAGTGAAAACATCATTATGCAGATCCGATTTTTAGTTTTCTATATTTTTTAATCCATATCTTCCATAAAACTAGTAAGTATTTGGTTTTTGACACCATTTTTTTCCCTTTTCGCCTGTCAAATATGGTGTCGAGTTAAGATACAATTCTGAATAATAGCTCATTACAAAGAGGATAAAATGTTGAACATTTCCTTCTCTAACAATATGCAGGTTCGAGTTCTAGTTTTAGAGATACTTTAATCCATATGAAAAACACTTCAATTAGTCTTTTCTAGCCGCCTATATCCGAGCGTTACTTATCGGAAATCTGACGGCTCAATCTAATTCACTCTCCAAAAATAAGTACAAATCACGCCTAAAAAAGCTTTCACTTCAAAATTAGTCGATTACAAAAAAACGAAGCCGTGTTAATAATTGTACAAAAAGGGGTCGGTGCCGTCGACTCTGTTATTGCTGCAACATAGATTGCTTGGAATCGAATGTAAAACTATTATCGAAACGATCCAATCAACTGAACTGTGGAGAGAAGCCTTGCGTTCTAATCTAGTTCGGACAGAAGCACCCAGACTGCAGCAGCTGGACAGACAATAACTTAGCTGGTATACTTAACTAATTGCCACTCGATAGCTCCTCCTCAAGACGGATTAATTTTCCAGCTCATTAGGTTAAGTGTGGGACCGGTCTGTGGCTTCTCCAAGGTGGTGGTGCTTCTGTTCTCTGGAGAGGAAATTACATTACCAACAGCTACTGTGTCCTCTGGAGCAAAAGAAGAAAAGAGATTAGTCCTTCACTGGTAGGATAACTACTCCATGCATAAAAATACTTCTGTATTAACTAAAATAAAAAAAAATTCTTAAATATTAGCAACTTATTATTTCTTTGTCCCCTCAAAGAGACAGAGGACCAGATATTAGACATTTTAATCAAGAGTCCCTTAAGAATAACAACATTGTTCATACAAATAATTAATAAATCTGACCATAAGACCGATTACAATAAAGAGTAACTAGAATATAAATAATAAGACAAGTCAAAAATAGCTCTGAAGATATTTTAACGAAAGGAAATGAGCATTAGGGTTACAATACAATTTAGCAATATAGCTGCTATTAACAATAAAATAAAAACTAGTTGCCCGTGCGAATAATTCACATACAATTTTCTTTAGTGAATGAATAGCAAAACATTATGGAAATAAATAGATCCTAAGTATTATGCAAGGGAGATTACTTTTCCTTGGTCTATTACAATATTCCATTTAATAGACCAAAATATTTGTACAAATTGCTTTTCTAGAGCCTTTTTCTAAAAGGTAACATTAAAAAGCCTCAATAATGAGATTTTCTAAATTATGAAAAAACATAAAATGTACAAAGAAAAAATTGCCTTTAAGAAATAATAAAGCATATATCAGCCACTGGAAGAAAGTAGCAGAATAGTTGCATTAATCGTGAAGGCATGTTTTCAGATGGACTGTTTAGAATTTATTGCCATGAAATATTATAACATTACAACTTGATACAAAGATTGGGAATTACAAATTAGCTATTTTGGTTTGTGAAGTGGTGTAGATAGTAGATTTCATCGCTGCATCCGGAGATCCGAGGTCATATGTCGAGCTCAAAAACTCTGCCAGGATCTTCATGGTCTATGTAGGGCCAAGGCTTAGGTCCCCAAGCCGAAAGAAACCATAAGACCTATCCTCAAGGCCGGACATCAACATAAGACCCATCCTCAAGGGCGAACATTAACATAAGACCTCTTTTCTTACTTCTCGGCGTATTATATACAAATATTCAGAAGCGGGCAAGGATTTCATTGGTCCTTAACTTCATCCTATTACTTCACAATAACTGGTAACACTCTAAAAGGAACCAGTTACTTAGCCCGTTACTAGTTTTTCCTCTAAGTCTTTCCCAGGGTCCAGGTATAGGTCAGTCCTTGCAGATTCCTGGCCGGTACTTGATGTGTTTGGTGTCAGGATATTCCACTGCCCATATTAAGTTTAAAATATCGGTCATAATACTACAATCCGATCTGTATTTATATTGGACATCAATTACAGTCAATGTGTGTAGGTAGATATTCCGTATAATATTACTTCATTTTTTATATCTCCAGGTATTTTCTGAAACAAAACTAGGTATAATTGAATATTGATTCCTGAAGATTCATTTCGGAACAGTTTAATCCAAACAGCCTTATATATATTTTTTAGTTCGGCCCATTAAATCGTATTGGGTATAATCCTTAGATCTATTGGAGGGGGGGGACCAGAAAGGCGTTACACCCTTTCCTCCTCCTCTCTCCCCTCACCAATTTTAGCGATATTAGGGACGGAAATTGCGCAGTATAGATGCTCCATCAATCGCCATCTTAATGAAGGATTTTCCCCGAGCTCTTCCTCTGTCAATTGATGGTTCCATTCTGGGCCATTTTCCATTCTCTCTAAGTCCTGGGGCTTACGTTCTCTATCTGGAATCGAAGAGCCTCTCTGTACTTATCTTGCATTTAATTAAAATTCATTCAAACGATCAGATTCCTCCCCCCTCTCTGAAATTTATAGCTGGAGCTCCAATGAATACGCGATGTTCGAATTAATTGCCTTTTAGTAATTTTATAGATTCTTTAATGAGATCGCTCCAATATATACTCATGTTTATTAATATATTATGTTCTCATATTCAAACAAATACTCAGGGTGCTCTGAAACGTATAGATCCGTCGAAAACCACATGTCGGAAATTTGACTCGATCGCAATACTTTCCTTATCTAGTATAAGTAGGAAAGTAATAAATTAAAATAGAAAATATAAAACGCTGTATCATCGCTAATATTGGTTCGATTCCGATGATTTTTTTTTTGTTTTGTAGGTAATTTAATTACCTTTCAAAAGTTTTCTTCTAAAATTCGCCATATATTAGCACGTTCTTCGTTATTTTTACTTTATTTTCAATTTTTTATTGTTAACTTATTTAAGTTAGAAAGTAACTTATAATTTTTAATTTTATTACTATGACTGTTTAATTACTCTGTATCTTTATGTATGTATCTCTGAGGCTCCTTAGCCCATATTTATGTCTTTTTGTATCTAAAGGGACTTGTCCCAGAATAAATAAAGTATTATTATTATTATAGTATATACTTAGCTATTTAGGCCCCAAAACATTTTTCTTTTCTTTATAAGTTTTTTCTGATTTTTTTTCGTACATGTACGAAAATTTAAAAGACAATTATTAGAACATTATAGGAAAGTTTCATCAAAATCGTTTCAGCGATTTTCGCGCTACAGTCTATAGAAAATCATGTTTTTCATTCATTGCGAAGCAGCTATTGCACATGGCGCACTCAATTTTTGTCCCAGGCATCGGTAGTCAAAACCATACAAAATAAAAAAAGAAGCAACAAAATCGGCCCACCAGATCCCGAGAAAATTTTTGCAAAGACAGACCAATGGCTAAAAACATGTTTTTCGGACTATACTAAAAATAAGCATACAGCTCGAAAAAAGACACACAGTGATTAAATTATCAGAGAAAAATCCAAACTATAAAGGCATTCCCTAATACATAGGTGAACAGTAAACATGACTGAGTTTTTTAGGTATAGATGATATATAATTCTCCGACCTTTTTCTTCTGTTTTTATTAATTTGTTCATCTTTTCTTATTTATTTAATTTAATTAACACACATTTTCGTTATTATTTGGATGGCTTGGCGAGATGTCAATAGCATATATTTTTCTCTTTTATTTACTATTTTATTGAGTTTTTTATTTCTGCATATATGTGATCTTGTTTTTTATTTTCCTATCTATACTAGGTAAGGAAAGTATTGCAATCTGGTCAACTTTCCGATATGCGGTTTTGACGGATCTAGTTTCAGAGCCCTCTAAAATACTGGATTAGATATTTTTTGAAAGGTAATGGAATTCCCTACAAAACTATATAAAAATCGTTCATTTCGAACAACTATTAACGAAGTTTCAGCTATTCAATTTCTGCTGTAAGATAACGGATTCATATCCCGTTGTCAAAATGGGCGAATGAGAGAAAAAAACATAAGTGAAAGTAAGAAAATCTATTACCCACATCAAACAAGCATCACTATTTCTTCTACCTTTAACAGAAATTATTGTTTGACAAAATTAGGTTATGGAAAAAAGTTTCTGATCAGCAATACTAGAGGATATTGAAATGTTTACACTAATCTAACTTAAGCCGGTTTCTAATGCTTTAGTTTATCAAATAAATGGTACTCAAACCTTTTCTTTGATCGATTTTCTGGAAAATAAATCTATTTCAATTTTTTTTTTTTTTCTTAATGGTCATATGTAAAGATATAAAAACTTTTCTGAAATAGGTAGGAAAGGCGTTTAAGTGGACACACCAGATTTTTTTTTTTTTGTCGAATCGTTGGTAGGGTTACTGTTTAGCTCTACGTTAGAGATTCGTTGCTTTATAGTTTGAATTTTATTTATAACACAATAATTTATAATAATAAAAATTATATGTGAGAACTTGAAGTAGTATAAAGGACCTTGGGCTAATACTAAGATTTTCGATATTATTTTATCACATCATATAAACTAAAAATATATAATCTCAAGCGTAACTCTTTTCCTCTAAATCAGGATAAGGCTGGAAGGAAGGTCGGAAGGAGTCTATCTTGGATATAAACTGGAAGCCAGAGATAAGACCAAATCTGGGAGCATGGGGTGGAAGATAGGGCGTCACGCCACGGAGCCTCGATCTGACACCGCGTCCAAATGGATGTCACTCGGGTTACCTAAAATGCATTTAAGATGAAGCGAGGATAAGGGATGCGAAAGGACTCTCCAGCACGGAACTTGGCGTGAGCTCCTCAAGTCTACCTGACGTGTCCTGGCAATGTCTCTCTCAGGAGTCCTTGTCTTTAAGTTATTTGGAACATTCGGGAAGGGAAGAGGGTATATTGAAGTTTATATGGAACTGTTGGCAAGCTATCCGGTCTATAGCAGAAGCATCATGATCCGAAGGGTTTAGCACGAAACGTAAAGAAAATGTAAAATTAATCGATTCAAAGCATTTAAAGTCGATCTAGGTATTTTAGAATACCTCTTAAGGGACATAAATGATACAGGAGTATAAGAATAGATGCACACTTCAAGGAACAGTGGAGATCGTCAATATATTACAAGTAAAAAATTAAATTTAAAATTTCCAATTAATAAAATAGGAAAAATCTATTAGCTGTTTAAGTAGGTAGGTAAATATTTTACTACGACCAATTGATATAAAATATTTAAATTTTCATTTCTATTCAGAAATCATAATATACAGGTTGTATATAAAGAAAAATATTTTAATATGGGACACTGGACCTTGCGTGTTACAAAAAAAAGTCATAGTCTAAGTTTCTCCTGAGAAGTTTAAAATTTAAGTATTATGTTTTTTAATTTTTTTTTTTAAATAAGTGATAAATACATATCTAATTTAGCTAGTTGACAATTGTTTCGTAACAAACAAAACAAAATTTCGTTCAAATGCAAGTATACTTTTTTTTCATGCAAGTTCCGTTTTTCATAAAAACCTCACGAAATAAGTTACAACATAAAAAAGGAGGAATTAATCATATGAAATATAATTTTTTTTTCTACATTCACGAAGTATGAATATTTACAATATATGAAATTATAATTGTATATAAATTCGCTGTTACTGGTCATCATTTATATCATGCTATAAAAATAAAACAATGTATGCTAATTGTCACTACCATGACAGGTGCTGATGAAAAATTGAAGAAAAAAAAAGTTTATAACTATAGGTATAATATGCGATAAATAGTATTGATTGAAATCTGTTTGCTAAATATTTAACAAAAATGACGTTAATCGTTATGATATGTTCGTCAATCGTTGTTCCATATTTTGTTGTGCTTTCATTTTGATCATTCGACGGTTCCAAATCTAATGCTGATTAAAATATATATATATATATATATATATATATATATATATATATATATATATATATATATATATATATATATATTGACTGGTGAAAAATGGTTTTTCTATTCAAAATAATATTTTAATTTCGAGATATTTCAGTCAAAATGTACATAACCGTCATTAATATCTGACGCTATCTTTTATCCTTTCCGTCTATCTAACTCGGCGCCACATGAAAATACGATTCTAAATTATAGCTCATTACAAAGATTAAATGTAGATAATTTCTCTACCTTACAGCATGCATGTTCGAATATTAGTTCTTGAGATATTTTAATCCAAATAAAAAAAACTCTTCACTATCTTTTTCGCTTTTTGCTTCTATAACACAGTGTCGCATCAATGTAAAATTTTTAATAACAGCTCATTATATAGATCCGATATTTAGTTTCTGAGATGTTTCAATCCAAATGCAAAAATCAGCCGACTCGAACCGACTTGACCTGAAGTAGTATTACCAAAAATCGGTCTTTGTCTTGCACTTTACAAGACCAAGACCAACACCGCCTACCTGTTTGAGGCAAAATAGTTATTAATACTTGACAATTTTAGTTACTATATCTAAAGAATTGGTGTAACTAATATACTTTTGCATTTAACTCTTCTAATTTTTCATTCAGACTTAGTTAGGTTTCTCATATCTAAAAAACTACAGTAATATCTCTCTAATAATAAGCTAATACTTAACTGCAATACTGTTACGAGAATCTTGCGCAAGACCAAGACCTAAACTAAGACTGAGTTTGCAAGACCAAGACTTGTTTCGGTCTAGCATTTTGGGGAATACTAAATGTAGATATCAGGCCAGGAGGAGGTGCCGCTGGGTACTCCTTCCCCTCATCCCATAATATTTCGTAACGCATATCTCATTCACTGATTGCCATTACTATTTTTGAAAGGTATGAATACAATTATTTTAAGTTAAAAAATATATCTATAGTCACACACCGTATATTGCTTTCGAAAATATTTTAGTTTCTTTTTATAGAATATTTCTGATTTAGTTCACTTTACGTCACCAAGTTTGCAGGTTATTTGGACAACACTAACCTGAAGGAGCTTTGCATGGTGTGAATACCAAAAAAAAGTGCTAAGCACACTTAAAGAAGTTTTCACTTAAAATATTTTTTTTTTAATCTGTTTATTGAATAATAATACAATCAGCCACTGCTGGAGGGCTATAAGCATTAGGGCTGGAAGTTCTCATTCATACAATATATACAAATAATAAAGAAATAAATATAAATATAAGAAGTAAATAAATAATACTGGTGAAGAAGTTAAATAAATATAAAAAAATAAAATAAACAAATAAAATAAAATAAAAACTTCTAAACACAATCATACCTCTATACAATATATACATTCGCCCAGAAATCTCCAAGCCAGGCTTCTTCCCCACACGTGGAAGGCAAAGCAAGACTCCGGAAGATCCCAGCGCCACTTTTCCAGCCGCATCACTAGTATTAGACAATTAAAATATAAATTACGATTTTTGCCTGAAATAAAAGTTGATTAATTCACTGCGAAGATACATCTGAATCAACAATGATACATCCGTAGTGTCATGAGTCACCCGGCCCTGTTTTTGTAGCAAGAAGTTAATACTGTTACGACAAACAGCAACCAAAATTACGAAGCCTAATTGGTTATAAAGTACTCGTTCCAAATACGATAGAGAAGAGGGGAGAAGCGGGCAAGATAAACAGAAAGCCGAATGAATCGATGTTGACTCTTGCCGAGGAAAAGCGAATCCGAGACCGGTTTCCTTTTTGTTAATTATCGAAACTTGTTTTTCTTCCATCGGACTTCGAGAGTAAATTAATCGGCGGTGAACTAACGGCTATACCCAACTGGGTAGCGATACCCAATGGGTACTGAGCGAGGAGGGGGAGGAGGGAAAACTTGTCGGTGTTCTTTACACAAAACCTCCTCCCTTCCCCCCCTCAGAGCGATACAGTAACAGACAAGTTACTCTGTATTGTTAACGAGTTATTGGAAAATGGAGAGTAACGGCGATGGAAGTTTCATTTAATTTCTTTATACAACGGCGAGTGAGGGTCGGTTTTCAGAGCTCGATTGAAATTGAAATCCAACTCGATTCCCTGACAATATCTGAAAGAGGATCTGATTCGATTGTCAAAATGTTTTCGATTCCATTACTCCATTTATTTTTTATGTATGTCTTCATTTTAATGTGGTAGCTTATTTTTTCTAAAAATTATTTATAAATACGTACAAAATTACATATTTAATTAAAATATATAATATATATATAGTCCACACGTCATAATAAAACGCCGAAATTTAAACAAGTGACTGAAAATACTGTACTCACTTTTTTTTTTTTTAATCAAAATTTTAACAACTAAAAACATACACTTACCTACTTAAACCCATCTGGACATACACCTCTCAGATTTACAATTCGGTATAAAATTCGCACTTTTAAAAACTACAATAATTTAGTGTTGCCCAAATGCGAGACCGAGATGAGTCTTTGTCTTGCAAACTCAGTCTTTGTCATGGTCTTGGTCTTGCTCAAGAGTCTCGTAACAGTCTTGCAGTTACTTATTAGCTTATTATTATATAGATATTACTGTAATTTTTTAGATAGGAGAAACCTAACTAAGCCCGAATGAAAAAATTAGACAAGTTAAATGCAAAAGCATATTGGTTAAACCAATTATTAACATATAGTAACTGTAGTATCAGTAACTATTTTGCCTTAATTTTTATTTTTAAAATAGATTTTTTTTACCAGTTCTGGTCATGGTATTGCAACAGTTAGGCGGTCTTGGTGTTGGTCTTGCAAAGTGCAAGATCAAGACAAATTTTGGGCATCCCTACAGTGATTTCAACCAGAAATTTTACGACTTATAACAAGAGCTCCTTGGTACGTAAACAACATAACATAAGAACTTACGACAACCAACTATCAACCAACACATACGTACTCTCTAATCTCGTTTTCATTTCAAAGTACACGGACACAACAACAGACTTATAAACGACATGGCCACGACTGTCATTCTCATCGGGAGGCCACTGAAAAGGAGTTGGATGAGAGATCTCCTTACCTGAATCATGGAAGTAAAGAATGACTAGGAAGAGGTGCTCCTGGGTACAATCCTTCTACATGCCAATAACGCTAATCATTATTTATTACAACAAATTTTGACTGTCAATACCATGACAGCTGCGAATACATATTTGAAGTGAATATATATATAACATATTAATATATATATACATATATATATATATATATATATATATATATATATATATATATATATATATATATATATATATATATATATAAAACTTGTATATATATATACAAGTTTTATAGGTAAGGACTCTATTTTATTATTAATAATAAAACACTCAATTTGATCACAGATGTCCAACTTTATTTCTTTATCTACACTAAAGATTCAGCCCTTAGGCCATTTTCAAGGAGGAAATAACTTTAACCAATAAATCAATCATCACATCCTAATAATCAGCTCATCATCATCACTTGCTCATTAATTATTATATATTTCATTATTTTAATTAATTTTTATTTAAATTATTTTTTCATGTTACATTAGTAGCACACTAACGTAATATCTTTGAAAGACACTAATGAAATTGTCAGTGTATACAACAAAATCATTTTCAAACTTCAAAGTTCTTAGTTTGCATTTTGTCTCTTACATATACTTCAAGAAAAAGACTAAATAGTTCATTCCTGTTGTAGTCATCTGAAACGAAAAAAAATTCTTTTATTATTTGAAATTATTTT